GCCCATCGCCGAGAGGCGCCGTCTCCCATCCGACAACCGTATTATACGCCCATGACACAAGGGAGGCCCTCGGAGGCCGGAGAAAGGTTATTTCCCACCTGTCGGTGCCATCCCCTCCCCCAACCTCGAAGTCCCCGGGGCTGCGCCAAACGACGGTCCGCCGCCGCCTCACGCAATCCACATTCAGCACACAGGACACCTCCCACATTCAATATCGATCCTTGGGACGGGCCAGGTTCCCCCCATTCCCTCCCCCGGTCGTTCGCATGCGTACAAGACCCGACCGAACAGGCCACAACTCGGAAGGACGCATACGTCATCCCCGACCTTCATCAACGGCGTGCCGTCTAATGTGGGTGGGCCTCCCACAGCTCATCCCGTACACTCCTCGTTCCATCCCAGGTTACCACCCTCAAGAACGCAGTCCAACGCCTCGGCCGAGTCAGCTGCCATTGTGCCACCAGCGCCTCCCCTAGCTACACCTCCTGCTCCAGAAATGCCGTCGACGATGCAAAGAATCTCGACCCCGCCCCCGAGAATTGCGTCTCCACGTCCTTCCAGCGCTCGGCCGGCAAGAAAGAAGATCGCACCCGCTCACCCCGTGCTCCCATCCGGGATGCTGGCCGGTGGCGTTCCCCCAATCAACGTGCTCATCGTCGAGGATAACCCTATCAACCTGAAATTGCTCGAAGCGTTTGTCAAACGTTTAAAGGTGCGCTGGAAGACTGCAATGAATGGCAGGGATGCCGTCAAAAAGTGGAAGGGCGGAGGCTTTCATCTCGTGCTCATGGACATCCAACTCCCCATCATGAATGGACTCGATGCCACGAAAGAAATCAGACGACTCGAGCGCGTCAACTCGATCGGTGTCTTCTCGTCGTCTGCTTCGGGCGTCTTCTCCGGATCAGTGACGAGCGAGCCTGAGGGAACGGAGGGCGACATTGAAGACAAGGATCGTCTCGCCAACATTGAGCTGTTCAAAAGCCCGGTCATCATTGTTGCGTTGACAGCCAGTTCCCTGCAGAGCGACAGACACGAGGCGTTGGCTGCCGGCTGCAACGATTTCTTGACCAAGGTACGTCTCCGCAAATGCCGACTGAGGCCACGACACGAAGAAGCTAACCATCCTGCAGCCAGTCAACTTTGTGTGGCTAGAACGCAAGGTCATGGAGTGGGGATGCATGCAAGCCCTCATTGATTTCGACGGATGGAGGCAGTGGAAGGACTTTGCACAGGATGCCGAGGAGAACGACGCCGCAAAGAAGGCGGCGGGCGCCAAGGCGAAATCGAAGAAGAACCGATTGTCAGTGACGACGGCAGCGGCATAGGATATATCATGAGGGGCAGCACACGATTAAGCCCCAGTCTCACAACGGCAGTTTCTTTTGTTGTACAACGTATTGGTCGTGTACAAAGTAATACCAAATCACCAGCGACGCCAGGAAGAGGAGCTTCTTCTTTCGCATATATGAGAGCAGAGTACATTAAATCCTCGAGAATACATACACACACAAATACATCTACATAAATACTACGCAATGTCAAGGCTTCTCCCATAAGCCTCAGGGCTACGGAGAGTAGCGTATTTCTGAGCCAGTGCAGCACGTTTACTACCACGCATGGACACATTGTGGTCAAGAACCAGTATATGCCAATTGACTTGAATTTTAAGCCGTCATACTTTCAAGTATTGCTTTCTCACGGCCCGCCGACCGTCGCGACGGATTGAACGATCTCTTGTTGAATTTTACCTGATCGCAATCGCAAGGCTTGGTTGCAAACCACGGGGCTCGACACCGGGATAGGGCCGGCCCGTGGAGCTCGTCTGGAGCTTCGAAGCACGGACCATGCACCTGGAAAATTTGCTTCGTGTCCCCGACCTCAAAACTGGTGCCAGGCCGACTCTCCTTTCTTCCTACACAACAACCTGACCGTGGTCGGTCCATCAAAGCACGACCGCGACGTCCCAAATGCACCACCCGCCATAGGACAACGCATCGAGGCTCGCGTTCGGCGATCCTGCAATTCAAGCTCCACACCTTTCCACACTTGACAAGAATGGCCGCGCGTCCGGCATCGTCGGCCATGGCCATGACGGCCAAGCGCTGCACGCGACCGACAGCACCGCGCCTGGGTCTGGCCAAGACTACGTGCCCCTTCTCCACGACGTCGCATTGCGAGAAGACATCGCAGCTGCGTAATTCAATGTACCAGTGGATGGAAAGGACCGGCCGCCGTTTCGAGGAAGCGCCGACTTATGGCACCAAGTATCTCGGCCAGGCCGCCGATCAGCCGTTCCCACTCAACCCGCTCTTCAGGAGCCCACGCGTTCTGGACGAGAGCATGCGAGAGGAGATATTCAAGCGCGTCACGCAACAAAAGCTGTCGCTGAAGGCCGTTTCAGCTGATCTGGGTGTCGACATCCGCCGCGTCGCTGCCGTGGTGCGGCTGAAGGCCCTGGAGAAGCAGTGGGAGGCAAAGGTAAGAAAATTCGCTACTTCTTCTTTCTCTCTCTTATGATAGATACTTCTATCTCAGCTTTCATGATGATCCATCTTTCACAAATCGATTAGTCTTGAAGACGCACAATATGGTTACAATTTTGGCACTGCGAGCCTCGCTGATTAGCTGTTTACTTTTCCATTCATTACATGGACGCTATTGGAGAAAACAACCGGCTAACACATCACTGCAGGGGAAACAGCTGGCAAAGCCATATTCCAAGGCAATACTCGGCATGGTGCCCACCACGAGCTACAACCCTGAGAATCAGTTTGAGCATGAACCCATCCATGAGATTGATGTTCACAAGCTCTCACAACAGCAGCTCTTTGTGCCCACCTCCGAGTCTCGCGTCTTCACACGCGAAGATGCCGCCGAGGCCTTCCACCGCAGCTTGCTGCCGGCCGACAAACGTGCGCCGCATACGCAGCTCATCGAGCTACAAAAGGCTGCCCTCGAGGGCGTGCCCCTTGAGACGAGCCTTTTCAAGTTCAAGGCCGACACGCGAGCCGAGGAGGACCGCCTCAAAGAGAAGCACCAGAAGAAGGTGCAGCTCGAGATGTCGCAAACGTCTCGTGTTGATACGAAGCGGTTCGAGTACCGCTTCCAGGACGTCAATGTCGAGGTTGTCGGCAAGACCGGACGCGGCCACAAGGGCATTGGTGCGCGGTACGGCGTGCCGTTTGACGACCGTAAGAGGGGTCGCAACAACGTCCCGCTGTCGGTGCCGTGAAACCATAGTAAAACGATGAGCGTGTTTACACAATGTTTTCCTAGGATACCCGACGGCGGATTATGCCCATGAGAGGGTGTTGGGAAAATCCCGCGTCGCTGTACAGCAGATGTACCATAGGGCTGATGCCCATGTTTGTAAAATATTATGAAATAGCCTTGCAAAGCTCATTCGAAGCCAACTGATTTATTTGCTACATTATGTATCTTGCTCACTCTTCGCTTGCAACTTGACCTGGCCGCGCCCTATAATGACCATGGGACTCGGCCTTGGGCCAGCCGGTCCTGATTCAAACAGTCGCTGGGGACGGGTTGAAGACACTCTTGACTTTATTTGGAGGCCTGAACTGAGAAACTGTGCCGGACGTGCCCGGCAACACGTCAGTCTCTTGTTAAGCCTGATAGGTACAGAGTTTCTTGTCGGTTTCTGAGTGACCTCACTGTGGCCACTGGTTCGATGCAGGTATCGCTAGTTCTTGGCGCTATCGTCGAGATGCGAGTGGATCGAGCATAGGTATACATGCCAGGCACCACACGACGTGCAAGGGCTCCTATCAGAGCGTAATCATTTTCACGGTTAGATGCAAGCCCTGACACGATGGCTGGAGAATCCGCAAGTCAAGTTTTGACGCGCCGGTGCCGATATGGTGAATCTGACAAGACAGAGTGCTCAAAAGAGCAGAAAGAACTCATGTGCACGTTGTAAGAGCCGTCGACAGCGCTGTAAATCCTCGCTCAACGACAGGCGAGACGCAAGGCTGCAGCAATCGAAGCCCTCGCCGCCGAGCCGATGAGCCAATGGTGTACCAGGAGCATCATGAGCACCGTCCCCAAACGTCAGCGTCCCGTGGCAGGTGTTCGCAGAGCTTCGAGGTCAGGCGGTCTTGAACGGCCCCTTCCACAGCGTGTGGTCAGTGCTGTCAGTGGAGTCATCGGACGAAATGCAGTGAAGGGAGAGCGTTAGGACAGCCAATCATGCTGGCAGAAAGTCCGCTCAAGTGCGTCATAGGGTTACTGTCCCTTGTCATCGACAGGAACTGGGCCTTGGACCCTGGATTTGTTGGAGTCGGAGCTGAACTGAGCCGGGCACCACGTTCCCCCCCCCCCTTTCCCTTGCCCACAAAGGTGCGCCAGTTCATGGGATTAGAGTTTTGGTCTAAGGGAGGGAAGAGATTATTTGGTGCACTCGCCAGCAAACAAGAACCTGATCGTGACCGGTTCTTGATTCACCGACAGGGTTGCGCCAAGGCCTATTTGTACTTAATCAATAAACAGTCCGCCTGCTCAACAACTTCCTGCTTGCTCCTTCCACAACACCAAATCGATACATCCAGCAAAAGATCTGTTGACCCTGTCAGTCGCGAAGCGCACCACCACGACGACGTCATCACCAATACTCCGATTCACTCACTGCAATCAACAACCGCTTCACAACGCCGCGATGGGCTTCAAGTCCATTCTCGAGCTAGGGGTGGTCTACCTCTCCCTGACCGTCATCCACTTCTTCCAGTTCGTCCTCGCCATCACCGTCATCGGTCTCTATGGCACCGATCTGCAGCGCGCGCGCGAGGCCGACAGCTACGTCGACGCGAAATGGGTCTACGCCGTTGTCGTCGGCGCTCTTTCCGCCCTGACGGCCCTCCTCTTCATGGTCCCGTTCATTCTGCGCTTCGCCTTCACATTTGTGTGGGACTTGGTTCTCTTCGTCCTCTGGATCGTTGCATTCGGCATCTTTGGCCATGTAAGTAGGACCCGATGCTAGCCATCCTTCCCAGCGCTCCCTCAAAAACATGACCTGCTGACACTGTTACCCTCCTCTCCAGATGTACATCAACGAAAATGCAGAGGGCGACGGTGCTATTGAGCGCATGAAGAACGCAGTCTGGGTGCTCCTCGCCAATGCCTTGCTCTGGCTGATCACGGCCATCTTCATGGGCATCTACTGGTTCCGCCACCGCGAGCGTCACTCGCGCTTCACCGGCCGCGCCAGGGTTTGAACACATGAAGCTGCAGCCGAATGACACGAGCCGGGGGTCGGGGGGCTGCTGGATCTGGATCTGGCTCTACGATCGCCCGGTGCAAGACAGTCGCCTCTTATCACACGGCCATAGATGATGCCGTAAGACGCATCTTTGCCAATCCCACCAACATTGTGTGGGCTGCGCACGGAGAGATGATGTGAGGATGTTTAATGGAATGACGAGACGCGGGATTGATACCAGAGTTCGCACGAAACAACTCATTTCGACAAGCCGCGCGAAGCGCGCCACTTTTTTTTCCTCTTGCTTTCGCTTTGCCTTTCGATATACCAAATCAGTCTCAATAAAGTATTTGCGCGAAACACGTCTTCCTTCCAAGCATGTGATTTCTAACGCAAGAAAGCGGCCCCCGAAAATCTGCCGGCGCGGTAGTGGTAGTGATCAACCGTGTCATTACGCAGAGATGGGCGCGATCGTCGGCCGAGGATCTTCGGAAGGCTTGGTATACCTAGAGACCAGTCCTTGCTGAAGTTTGGAAAGAAACAGTGTGGCAGAGTTGATTCGGCTACGGCGTATCTGACAAGACTAGAGATCAGCGCTTGGGCGAAATCGAGCTTATTGTCTGGTACAGTCGGAGGCCTGCATGGAACTCCGTTCCAGGTAACAAGGGGGGAGCGGAGGTGAGCATTTCTGAGGCGCCGGCGTAATGTTTGAGACCGTCACATGGGGCAAAGTCAAGTCGGGCGAATATGCTGCTCATCGCCTTGAGAAATGGCGCTCGCAGTCGCTAAATGGCTGTTTGTAACGGAGCCACATGCGGCACGGTGTCGGATTTGCTAGGTATGTGACACCATTATGTTCAATGACTCCCTCAACGATCTCACCTACGGCTAAGACATGTCACACAACCCTCGAGCGCCCTGCTTGCTATCAGACTCTGCGTTGATGGTAGGGGCTTGCACGTTGTCGCGCAACAAGGTTCCCGTTTGCCTTCTTTCCCCTCTCTAGCGCAGAAGCCCAATGCCATGCTCAGGCACAATGACGTAGGGGGTCTCCGTCGGGTCAAACACCCCGCGGACCCTGCTGCGACTCTGTTTGCCATCCTCTTTGCGCTTGGCCTTTTTGGGGGTCAACCGAATAGAGACTCATATCTGGTCTGCTGCAATTTCCGATACGAGTACTGTGAGAGACACCAGCATAAAATAGCGCGAGCCGTGCCCGAGGCGGTGCGCTCGTAGTAAAATTTAGGTCCAAAAATAGCGAGGCCATCAGTGCGAGATATTCCTAGCAAGTATGTTTGTTCGTGCGAGTTCGCTTGTGAGGTTTCCGACAAGCCACGTTGAACTGCGGGCCTCTCTGCACCAGATGCGGTTTTTGTGTGCATCGATCAGCATCGCCGCCCGGCCACGAGTCCGTCTCCGCGGGCGAGTGAAACCAAACCACATGGGACATTCAAGCCGCCAGACACCTGTGCAGTTGCACTCGTTCAAGGGACCTGGTTGAGCAGACGTGGAGACGGCGAACTGCTGCTGTGAATGGAAGGCGGCGACGAGACAATCGATAGAGGAGCGAACAGTGGCTTGTGAGAGGTAGATCGTTTCCCACCCAGATGACGCCTCCTTCTTCCTTCCTAGCCGTGCTCCACCGGCAGGCAGACAGTAGTGCTACTCGGTGAGGGCAGGTGATAATATGATTCGCGACCGGACTGTCAGGACTTCATCGTGTGGCGCCAGAGGATGAAGAAGTATGTGAGCGGCAACGTCGAGATGACGGAGCCGGCCTTGGTCTCCTCGCGCGCAGCCAAAGCTGATGGCGCCAGCAGAGGACAGGCTGGGCAGGGGACCACAACCAGGGGTCCAGGGGTCGAAGGACTACCTGGGCAGTCGATCGTTCGAGAGAGAACCGCCACGGTGGACTCTATCTCTTGTCACCGCTTTGTTGAAGGGGGAGGGGTAGGCTACCGTCCCACAAAGGACGAGGCAACAGGCGGAAAGATGCATAGAGATGGATAACAGAGAGCTCGGCGAGCAGCAGGTAAGCCTGCAGCCGCGTAGGAGAAGCATCAAACGGCGGGCCATTTCACTGACCAATGTCTAGGTACCTTAGTTAACTACCTAGTAGGTGTGCCTTTTGCCTGTAATTATCCGTTGCTGTTTCTGCCTGCCTCCATCGTCGCCGCCGCCGTGGTCCGCCTGGCAGGTCCCACCTATCCACTGCGACTGCTCCCTCCTTCTTGCCTTACCTGCGTCCCAATAATCGGATTAAAGGAGCAAGTACGAGGCAGGCTATCCGGGGATAACGTTTGCTGGCGTCTTGCGCCCGTGGAGACACAATGCAGGAAGGCGACACTAACAAGAGCAACCCTGCGGATGTTCGGCGAGTCGGCATCATGACGAGAAGGCGTGCCCAGCAAAGGAGGGAACAAGGGAAGAGGGAAGCTGCATCTCCATTGACACCTCCGTCTCCCAGCGCTTCAGCGTTACCCGTACGTAGGTACTCCCCCACCATCCACTTTCCGCTCTCGACCGTCGACTCTGTTTGCCAAGGGCGCCGCGGCCTGGGCGGCAAGGCGCTGGCACGTTGGTTTGCCTGTGGCCCCATCTCCAGAAGGCTCATCTCCCATTTTTTGCCTTTCGGTTTTCCACCTCTTTTGCCAAGGCAACACAGCCAAGGAGGCGAGGGGGCTCGTACTGTGGCCTTCCAAGCGTTTAGGGACGTCCAAGCCATGATCATCTCCCGCTTTCAATTGCGGCGAACCACGCAGCACACCACCAATGCACCGGACCACCCACCACTCCACACCTTGCGCGGGCACCCATCTCCCACTGCATATCTGTAGGTGGAGGCGGCGGCGGGGGGAGATGAAGCAGACAGTGTACAGTACCACCCAGTGACAGTAAGTATTACTGGGGGCGGGAGGTGGGTGGTCCTCAGACGTTCGGTCGCGGATCACCTCGACAGGCCACCAAACACAGAAAACAATGGAGCCCTCAGCCTTTTCGTCCAACAGATCTTCTTCGGCAGGTTCCATCTATCATCTCCATCTCCCTGGATCATCTTCTGGCGCCTGGCTGTGACCCAAACTTAAGCTGCCTGTCGCCCTCCTACCGCCATCTTCTCTTCGGCCACTCCTCCTTTCCGGCTTGGTGTCAAGACCTCGTTCTCGTCCGAACCTCCCGCGACTTTGGTGTCCCTCATCGCCGTCAGTCTTCAGACACTATCTCACACGTCTGGAGAAAGCGTCCCCGAACCGATAACAGGCGATCCAGACAGCCAGGCACATGCAAGAGCAAACCGATCACGACAAGGATACACGAGGAGACCTCGGTGTCGGGCATCACGCAGCGGACGACACAATGGCTACACTGGGGCGGTCTCTCAAGTCACCCGTTTACCTGTCCCGCGCAAGCAGCAGCAGCAACGGCAGCCGGCGGCCCGCCCTCGCAGCTAGAACCTTTTCCCACTCGTCGGACATTTCGGCGGCTTCGGCCAACTCGTGGGCAGATGATCACCTTGACATCGGGGTCATGTCCGGCCTGAACACACCTGCTTTGGAGAAGACGGTTACGGAAAGTCTGGCCATCAAAGAGTCCAGGCCGCCGCAGAAGGAGGTGAAAGGTCATTCGCAAGGCAAGTCGGATATCTCTCTATCTCTGTCTCTGTGCGTCTCCATCCTCCATCTGTCCTTTGGTGTCAATACCCAACGGCCAAGTCACACCAACCTGTCGTTCGCTACCGCATGGCCTTGCACGTTTGGGGAAAAGCATGACACTCGGCTGGCACTACGAAGGACAGCAGCCTCCATCATGCGCCCCACCTCACGAACCAGCGCCCGGCCGGAGCGGGGTAAGCCACACCGTGGCACCGATGGGAGGTGGCCGACCCTCTCTGTTTGCCTCTTTACGGCTGCTGGCGCCCTGGCTCGGGCCTGTAGGGCCTAGCACTGAGCACCTTTCCCCCTTGGATCGGTTTCCACCAGCCGCCTTGCCCCAGGGCAACGGATGGCTTGCCCGGCCGTCCCTCCTGCTGTGAAGCATGATTCAGTCGATGATGCAGAGTGCGCCGCTGGGCCAGGTACCTTGCCATTCCGGTTGCATTTCCCCTGTCTCCCGTCTTTCATCTCCTCCCACCCTTTCATTGCTTTCCCCTCGTGGCATTTTTCCCGCGTCCCATGGCGCCACTCATCACACTTGTGCTATACTGTCTGGCGAGGGACGGAATTTTCACTTTGCGATAAGATGCATCAAGGAAACCCGAGCCCCAGAAGCCCCCACACCCCTGTAGTCCAGGGCCACCAGCAGGTTTTGGCCTTGCTGGGCCAAGAGGGGCCACCTCCTCGCGGCGCAACGCCTAAATCAGCATGCGGCGAAACTACTACCCTGGCTCACCCGTGACGTCCTCCCATGCCCGATGTATTTGCTTTGCCTCCGTCTCCGCGCCGTCAGTTCCCCAAAGCAAGCGCGAGTAAGCGAACCTACGAGGCCACACCTTGCGTCAGCATTGAGTCTCGCGCGTCAGCGTCAAGCGTCAGCGTCACGGATTCCGAGGACAAACCAGCCCCGCCGTCATTCTCCATAGCCACGGCCTCCCGCTCCGGCCCTCCCGACCAATACATCATTTGCCCGTTTCTCTTCTGGCGAGACTCCACGAGTCTTTCTCTGGTGCTAACACAACCTTTGTTCACCCAGTTCAAGCGAAGCCGGTTCTCCATACCTCTGCGGCTTCGGCTTTCGACCTCAATCTCAACGCCATCGAATCCTCATCTCTCCAATCTGCAAGATCAGCCAGATCCAACCACAGCAATCCAATCACCATTGAACTCCCGGCTGTTCGGAAGTTCAAGTCAGGCGCTCCTCAGACACCACCGGAACCTTTATCCGCACGTGGAGACGTTCCTGGGTACGTTACTAATTCATCTCGCCCCCCCCCCCAATTTCAGTGACTCTTGTCAGCATACAAAACCATACCGGCATCATTGATTAACCGATCAACATTAGTGGTTACTTCCCTCTTCACGAAGACTCAACCGCTCGAATTCATCGTCCTCACCCTTTCGCCGGAGCCAGGAAAGCTCGACAGCAACGAATTGATCCCGCCATTGAGCCCCTTGTCCTACCTGCTGCAGCTGGTACCTCAAATCTGCCCGCCATGACCGAACCCACGAGCTTGCTCGCCGGCAAGTCAAACGAGCCACGATCCAACCTGCCTGTCGCATCCTATTTGCCCAGCGGTGTTCGCGATACCACTTTGCCCATGGGCAAATATTATCCTTCCAACTACGAGATGCGCAACCACCCGCCCCATCCAACGACGTCTATGGAGCCGACACCGGTGCAGCCTCGGCCTGTCGGAGTTGCCGGGCTATCGTCGTCTGTCAAGTCCGAATCTCAAGTTCCTACCCTGCCCAACGAAAATTTCCAAACGAGTCGCCAAGATTCAGACGTCCGCAGGAAGCTCGCGCAGTACCAGCGAGACATGATTGCCCAAGCTAGGCTTGCCGCCACGGAGCTCCTGGGCAGCTCAGCCAAGACCACGACTACACCACAACCGACGACGGCAACGGCGACCGTCATGCTCAATGGCTTTCCCCTTGCCGGTATACGCCACTTTGCAGCCTCTGGTGGAGGCAAGCCGCTCTCGCCGAGACTTCTTCCTCTAGGCAGCCCTGGTCCTGTTACTCCAATGGACCTTGAAGGCGGTGAACTGGGATCCGTCGACCGTGGATGCGGCTCCTCTACTTTTGGTGATATCATGGGCCGGTCGGGGGCCTCATCCCCAGCGGTTGAAGCCGGCGCCGGTCGCTTTTTTTGACACCTCGCATTGGTGTAGCCTCGTGTCAAGAGAAAGATGAGTGACATTGGAACAAGCGAGGTATTGGGAGGACAGGATAGATGCACATGTATGCGCGAACGACTTTCGGAGAGATCGACCTCAAACTTATGATACCCCCCACCCCGACCCTTCAATCATGAAAGCCATGGCCATGGCTCATGGTAACAACCCCTTACACGGAGTACTTCTTTTTAGCATTCTGCATCACGTTCGCTAGCATAGGGCGTCATCTGCCTAGGTTTTCTTTCAGTTGGGAGCATCAGCTAGCTTTTTCAATGATGATCACCATTGGTGACAGCATGATGTATCGAGCATCGCCATGACCGGTTGTGCCCTGTGACTAACTTGGCCTGGAACATCATGGTGCACTACCTACCGTCTTGTACTCTATAGCCCCTTATCTCAGTTACCAATGTAGCTAGCTGTTTTTGCTTCAATTACTTCAGCGCCCCCACAGTCACTAAGCTGCCCGACAGAAATTGGCAGGAAACTGCCCCTGCGTGCCGTTGAGCTCACCCGTCCACCAATCGTCCGTAGTTTGCGTCTTCTTGATAATGCGGATCCTGTCGCCCTCGCGGAAGGCCAGATCGCCTGGCTGGCCGCCAGGATAGTCGTGTTGCGCAATGACATACTCGACCGGCGCGGATTGGATACGCTTCGCAGGCGGCGGTGGCGGCGGTTTCTTCTTCTTGACAAGGGACATAGCGGTGCTGCTGGCGCCTGATGGCGTGCTGGCGGCGGACGACCCGAGTTGCGAGGCATGGCCAAAGTAGTCGCCACGCTCACGAGAGGCCGAGTACCCCGGGGAGGCACGGGCGCTGCCGGGTGTCTGGCCCATCGTGGCAGTGGTGAAATCGGTGGGGAGACCGAGAGCAGACGACTTCCTGCTCAGCTGCGGCGATTGGTCCGTCGACGGTGTCGTGGCGCGGCTGATGGGCGGCGCCTGGTGGATGGAGGTGTTGGAGGCGATGCGGGCCGGCCGCGGGAATTCGCCGCCGTCGGCGGGCTTGCCGCCGGGTTTGAAGCCGGAGGTCATGCGGCTGAAGCCGCTGCGCGTGGAGGTCACGGCGCCAGAGACCTTGCGTGCTTGAGGGTCTTCAATGACGTCCATGGGGCGGCCTACGGCGCTGCTGTGCACGAGCGTGTTGATCGATTCGACCTCGCGCTGAGCCGGCTGGAAGTTGGCGGACCACTCGGCCATGACGTCCTCCATCGCCGACGGCGGAGAGTCGAAGCCGTTGTTCTGGCAATAGTTGTGGAGGACCGTGTAGTAGACGCCCAGCAGGCGATTCTCGACACTAACGAGAGAGGCTATGAGGTAGGGCATGAGACTGAAGGTGGCAGCGACGAGAGGCGGCAGAACTTCCCGAATATGGTCGTCAGCGATTTGGAATTCCTACTCAGGAGGTTAGGACTATGACCGAGAAGTCGACAGGCGTGCGATGCAGAGAAGGAGCGCATACCTCTCCAGTGATGGCCATGTCGCTTTCGACCTTGACGAGCGCTACGTCTTCCTTGGGCGTCCTATCCACCTTTTTCTGCAGCTTCTTGACTTTGTCTTGGGCCTTTTCGTAGTCGAGCCTCTTGTTCTCACGCTTCTTGATCGTCTTGCGTATTGGCTGGATGTAGTCGCGGGCATCGGCGGCCGGGCGGATAACTTGGGCTTCGATACCGGCGACCTCTTGCAGAAGCTCGTCCTTGAGTTCGGCATAGGCTTCACGCAGGGCAAAGGTTCGACTGAGCTGCAGCTCGGAGGTGGGCTCGCTGGGACGGCGCGGACCATCCGTGGCGCCGGCAATGGGGTCGTAAAGGCCTTCAAACTCCTTCATCATGCCCCATTGCGTGTTGGCAATGTTCACCCAGGCATCTCGAAGCTGCTGCGTGCTCTCGACAATCTGGTAGACGATCAAGTTAGCTGTGCATCAACGGAGGTGTGAGGGGCAGAAAAGAGCAGAAAAAGGCAGAGCAGGTGGGGGGTTGCGGTGGTTCACCTTGGCGAGCATTTTGTCGGCATCGTCGTAATCCTTGAGCATGATGGCTACTTTGGCATTGTCCCCCGGGCCTTTGCTCATCATCCTACCAAACTTTTTATTGATGCGCTCCATGGTGACTAAAATGTAGCTTGGCTTGCTGGCTCGTCAAATTGTCGCGTTGGGCTCGTTGTTGTGGTTGAAATCCAGACAATAATGGAATGTCCGGAGGATTACGTATGTCTCCTGACAAGGTGCAAGGAGCTCGGGAAGCTCGCACCATGTACTGAAAGTGACGGCAACCCGGGCGGAGAAAAGGGTCCAATGAGTCGCAGCAGTGCTACCAAGGATACCGGACCTGTTATACACGGCTTGGAGACGCGGCCAAGGTTCTTCTTTGGCTGTTGAGGGGTAAATGAGTGAGTGGTAGGACAGGACAGGCTTCGCCAGGGCAGGGGACACATTGGCATTCGTATCGAGCTGGGACAGAGCCGATCATGCAACGCGCGGGCAGGCACGGTGGAGAGAGAGCGAGAGAACGCACGTTCGAGCTCGCATATGGTCATTCTGGGGGTCTTCAGCGAGCGCACGTCTCTCGTCCGGATTCTTGACGCCGCGAATCGCCATCCTGCCCAGGTCACATGGTAGCACGACTTGCTCCTACCAGTGCTGAACCGCCGCGTCCTCTGATGATCAGTCGAAACTCGCGTGCCTGTCATCTCATCCCGGACGCAAATGCCCCAAGAGCCCCAAAGGGTGTCTGCACCAGGAAGCGGGCCGCTATCCCCTCTTCGCCCCCACACTCTGTCCCCTGTCCATGCACAGGCTAGCTTCCACGCTGAGCCCCTCCAGGGGCACGCAGGTACCTGGGCACATTGACTGGGCGCCTTGCGATTTGCGGTTGACCAACGGCCAAGCGACTCTAGGATCGAAAGGAGTATGTGTATCCAGGGTGCGATCGTCTTGTCCGGATTTGAGGGACTGGGGAGGGCCGCGGGCATCTAGGGGCGACGCCATGCTCAAACACAAGTAGGCTGTCTCCAGGGTGACTAGATTCACTATTCACCACGTATTATCGCCAACTGCCTTGTGTCATACGTCCTTCCATTATGGACAGACTTTCTGGGTGACCTGCCAGCATGTCTACTATGATCAAGTCGTTCGTAGTGCCATGTACGCCTGCTCGGTGTTCATGTCTGTTCACAGTCATAATCTCCGCGCCGAACCGCACCTGAGTAGGCCCGCATCAGGGTAGCTTCACTGCATCGACCTTTGAAAGGACTTGCCAGCCCTTGTAGTTACTTGGTACACAGCAGACACTCTCGTGCAGCAGACTTGATGACGGAGCAGTTGACCTTACCTACCTTAGGTAGCCACGTTCGAGAGCCGGGGCACGTGTTCTCAGCATTTCGCCCTGAGACACCCAACCTAAGACACCTTGTCCTATTTGATTTGGTGGTGCATTGAAGACGCAGTACGTACTATCGTACCTGCCAACCTATGTGCGCGAGTTGATGTCCCTTGTCAGGACCGCTTCCGGCGAGCCCAGAGGGATTTGCACCTTATACTGCTACCTACTTCAAGGGGCACAATGTATTGTGCCGGACCAAAGGACCGACCGTGACGGCGAGACTGGGGGCCAATTACCAGTGATTTCTCAAGAATCAATGAGATCACGTGACCTGGCGTCGGTTCTTCTTTCTCCAAGTCGCGTCACCCCACCTATCCGACCGCGTCTCGTTTGCCCATGTCCTCCACAACATACGGCCCGAGACGAAAGCGAGTCCAGCACCGGAACGACGTGTCACCCAAAACAAACCGCATTGCTGATACACAGGGTTCAACCAGATGAGACGGTCCTTGCAACCGCACGACAAGTGCCAAAAAACCACCTGTACCCGGTCATGAAAGCCATCCGACCATGGCGGCCTCCACCCCGCTTTCCCACGCCAACATGAACGTTATGAACAGCTCCCAGCCCAATAGCGAGACCGGCACTGCCACTGCTGCTCCAGTCCTCGACTATGCATGCCTATTCTCACACGACCTGAAGCGAAAACAAAAACGATGGCAGGATGGGCGACTCAAGTTCCACTGCTTCAACAAGAGGGTGATGGTCTATGATGAGCGTGGTAACTTTATTGGCGACACGCACTGGACGATGGATTACGACTTGGACGAGGGTGAAGAGTTTCAACTTGCGCGCGGATGCGTCGTAGTACAGGTCTCCGAGTGTCTGGGACGCAAAGAACAAGACCTGTCCGCATTGATCGACCAACGCTACAAGGACAAGGAGGAACGCAAGGCCCATGCTGACGCCGCTGCCGCTTCCAAACCGTACAGGCCTGCTCCTACGCCACACCGACCACCAATGCCCATCACCCAAACAATGACAACTATAGCAACCCCTCGTGGTAACCAGCTCGGCCGTGCCATCCTCCCTACGTTATCACCCTTCGAGCAGCGGAACCTCGATGCTCAAGAGTCCGCCCAGCGGGATGAGCAGGCCAGACCTGCCAAAAGAAGAAAGCCAGAGGCATCACCCCCGAGCAAGAGTGGGTATGCCAGGAGTCTCTTCGGAGCGCCGCTCGCCTTGTCTTCTTTTACCTCAAGCGCCGCACACCCGTCTCAGACTGCTCCGTCACGGGCCTCAGATATCCGCGCCATTGGCAGAGAACCGTTACTGCCCCGTTCGCGACCCATGCCTAGTCTTCTGAAAGTGCAGCCAACTGCGTTTGCCGACACTCCTTCGAAAGCTCCCAAGACAACGGCTAGATCGAACCCCATTATCATAGCTGATGACACCCCCGAAACTGACTCAAATCACGTCCACGTCGATTCTGCGGAGCCATCTGTCAGTCTCGCTACCATCGCTGGGAAGTCGAAAGCCAGAGCAGGCCGGTCGAGCAACAAGCCGTCCCATCGAGACGAACACCTGGCAGAGGAAGATGGCCCCCCGAGCTCAGGCGAAATCATCGGTGCGCGAGCGGTTTCTCCACAGTTGGTAGCTGCAGAAAGCACGCTGCTTCAACCACGTATAGCGAAGCGAAAGACCCTTCTATCCGTGCCAAGGAAGCAGACAGGACAGCCGACTCACAACCAGCTCGAAAGCTCAACAACGGCTAGGACTGACGATCAATTCTCTACTGCGGATGCGCTAGATCTAAATCCAAGAACGAGCCTTGTGGCGAGCACTAAACGGGCAAAAAAACGTGGTCTCCTGATAGCCGCGGAGAAGACAACAACCAGGAAGCGACGCAGAAATGTCGAAGATGAATCAGGCCACGACGTGGCGAAATCTGCTTACTCTGTGCGCGCCGAAGAAGAGGAAGTTGTCTCTGAGGATAAAAGACGCCGCAAAGTTTCGGCTGGCTTGATGTTCGATGACGACGATGTCATCAACGTTGACAGCGACGCTACGTGTCCATCACCAAAACTCTCTATCTCTAGTGCTCGACCTTGTGACTTTGTGGATGAGACAACCAATCAGGGCAATGTGTTCTTACGGCGAGGAAGGCCGATTCCCGTTCCACAGAAGAATGTTGAAGTCCCTGGGGGTCATGATGGCTGAATTCGAGCGAGGGATGACTTCGGTGTTTCTTCCTTCGTCTCAAGGTGTAAAAGCCTCAACCTTGTCCTCCTGGAAAAATCCGACTTGGAGACCACCTATATCTTCCGTGCCAGGTTCTCTCTGGTATCATTCAAGACCCTTTCGAA